GGGGGCCAGGGGGCCGCCCCGGAGGTCCCAGGCAGCCAGCCGCCCGCTAATTCGGAATTCCTTCAGCATGAACTCGGGCGTGCCAGCGTCTCTGCCCCGGCCCACCCACCGCTTCCTGCCTGGGCCCCCCCAGCAGGGTGGGAGGCACGGCCAGGCCTGCCCGGACCCCAGGCCCATTCTCAAACCTCCAGGGGTGGGTCACGGCCCTCCTGTCCCCCACTCACCCCCATGGCCAGGCCAGGAAGGGGGTTCTCAGGGGGGTCCTGGCTGGCTGTGGCACTGCCCCTCTGCCACACCAGCCTGGCCTGGGCTGGTGTGGCCTGCCTGCCAGCAGCTGCAGCTGCCCTCCCAGGGCTGGGTGGGGGACAGGGCAAGAGGGCAAGGCCAGGCGGGCCTGGACAGGCCAGTCCCGCACCCCAAGCTCCAGCAGGAAAGGTCACAGGGAGGCCTTCTCCTGGGATATGTGTGCCCATCTCGGCTGGGGAACCTGGGCAATTGGCTTCCCCTCCCCTGTTCTCAGTTTCCTCCTCCGTAAAATGGGAGGAAAATACGTTCTACCTGCTGGGGAGATGAATGAGATGAGCTCACCACGTCCAGAGGGCCCAGCACACTGCAGTGCGTAGCAACTGTTGGGATTAGGGCCCCTCCCAGCTCTAGGGTCCCGGCTGGCTGGTGCACTCCCTCCAGGCCTCCCCAAACAATGGGCCAAGGCATTTGGGACCAGGATGCACACATTCCAGCCCAGGCAAAGCAGCTGGGGACAGCCCACTGAGGTTGGGAGGGCCCTTGGCCTGGTTTGGGGGGCTTCCTAGAAGGCTCCCTTAAGCAGATCCCTGGGCTAGGCTTTTGGACAGCCCCCCTCCCCTGCTCCTTGCCTCCCCGCCTTTCCCGCAGAGCTGGGGCCTTTAAAAGTTTTTTCTCTCCCCCTTCCCAATCTGGAGCCACTGCCGTTATTAAAAAGGAACACCATGTGTTTTAAAAGGGAAAAGTGTGAGATTCTCTGCAAGCAAGGCAGGAGGGTGGCCTCCACCCGGGGTCCCCATGGGGGTCCCCATCTCCTGTCCCGCTGGTACCTGCAGACGCTTTACGACCCACCCGCCTGCTGGTCAGGTGCTAAGACACACCACACCATAAGTAGAAACATATTGCTGAGGTGTAAGAATCTTTAATTTCTTCCCTCTTAAAGGAAAAAAACACACGCACAACAATCCTTCCACCACCACCACCTTTGCCTGCTGCTCTGCTGGCTGGGAAACAAAGCCTGCCACTAAAGGTGGCATTCATAGGTGCTGCCCACTGCCTGGCAGAGCTGTCAAGAACTCCAGAAGGGCCTGGGACAGCCCCTCACCTGCCCAGGAGCCTTGGGCATGTTAGGCTTTCAGCAAGTGCCTCCAGGACACCGGACCCTGCTCTTTCTGAAAGAGCACCGCAGGGAGCCTGCAAACAGCTCTGTGCAGTGTAGTTCCACCTGGGGTGCAGTGTTTGCCCACCCGGGTCGAATTGTGTGCCTGGGTGGGGTGCGTGGAGTGACTGCGAACATCCAGGGCAGGTTGTGCCTGTGTGCGTGCCCTGTGTTGCCTCTCCCTCGGAAAGAGGGTGACCGTGAATGTGTGTGTGTCAGGGATGGAATGTGTGTGTGCGCCCCGATGGTGTGCGAATGTGCATCTGGGATGCAGTGTGCGCACATCTGAGGGCGAGGGTGACGGGCCACAAGCCAGTGTGAGTCTTTGTGTGTCTCTGGGTGTGTCCCAGAGCGGGTCTGGATGTGGAGACCGTGTCCTGGCGGGGGTGTGCATTGGGTGGGGGACCGGAGAGTGCCGGAGGCCAGGCGCTCCCAGCAGGGCGGGGGGCTCGGCCTGCGGGCGCTGTGGGCTCCCGGTGGCTGCTCCCCCCCACCCAACGGCTGGGCCTGCGGTGCCCGGGCTCGCTGGGTCCCGCTCCCTCTCACTCTCACCCACTCTCTCACAAAGATTTCTCTCGCTAGAGTCTCCTAGACCGGCGCAGCGTGGCCGGGAACAGTTCTGAGCGCCGCCAGTGGCGAGGACTTCATGGACCCCCGCGCGCGGGGTCCCGCAGGGGGAGGGCGGCGGCGCCGGCCCGCGGAGAGGCGCGTCCCCGGGGACCCCGGGCCGCGCGCCAGGCGGCCAGAGCGGCCCCCTCCCGCCCCGCCTTCCTCACGGGGCTCATCCCTCCACCCGGGGGGGCCCCGCTCAGGGCCGGCACCCAGCGCGCCTACCGCGTGGTCCGCCGCTCAAGAGCGGTGACCCGCGGTCCCCGCGTCTCCGAGTCAGCAGACGCTGTCGTGTGCGCCCACCGCGTCCTGGAGTGCAGAGGGTCTCAGGCCGCGCGGCCCCTCGACCCCCCTGGGCCGACTCGGGCGTCCTCCAGAGGACAGCCCAGGTAAAAAGGCCTCGGCAGCGGAAGCCGGACCCTCGGGCCAGGGGACTTCGGCGCTGTGCGCCCCACAGGTGAGGATGCCCCGAGGGCCGCGCCGGGGGCGCCTTCCTTTGTTCCCGGGCCGTCCAGGTGGCGCCCGCGCCCCCTCCCCCCCGCGGCTGCCCCCGGGGCGCACGCTCTCGGCCCAGGCGGGAAGAGGGGAGCACGGCGCCGGCTACTCACCGGCTCCTGATCCCGCTTGCGGCGCCCCGAGGACGCAGAGCAGCAGTAGGGGCAGCAGCGGCGGCGGCCGCCGCGCGGATTGGGCGGCGGGGCCCGGGCCGCCGGCGGGCACTTCCTCCTCTATCCCCACCTGCTGCAGGCTCCTCCCAACCACAGGTGTGGAAGTCAAGGACACCCCTTAATAAATATCCTGCCCGCTACATACAACCTTGGGGCTGCTTCTGAAGCAGAACTGCTATGAGCAAGGAGCCAAGAGCACACTAGAAAACTGGTGTCCCTTTGGCCTTATCCCAAGTCCATTCGGGGTGGCGAGCGGCGGGCCCCGCACCGGCCTCCCCGCCGCCCGCCAGCCCGCGGGCACCGCAGGCCCCACCCGTCCGGCCTCCGCCCCGCCGCGCACCGCACGCGCCCTTTCCCGCGGCCCCAAACCCTCCACTCTACCCTTACCGACCTGGGACCTCCCTTTCCAACCCCGCGAGCTCCAGGCTCCCTACCCCCAATCTGGGACCTGGAGCCCCCAGTCGGGTTTCCATACCCTCGCCCACTTCCCTGCACCCTGCTCTCAGCCATGTGCCCCTTCGGCGTCCCCTTCAGCCCCCAGCCCTCGCCCG